ATCACGGTGAAAGAATCCAGCTTTAATATTAAATATTAAAGCTGGATTCTTTCACCGTGATGTCATGCCAAAAGGTGTCTTTTCTATTTTTAAAAAAGATCCCGGCTCTATTGATTTGTGATATGGTAATATTAATTACAGTTGTATATTTGATTATTTTGTTAGTTGTTATTTTTTTTTTTTTATTATTATTTTGTTTTTGATTATTTTGTTTTTTGTTAATAATTAAAATTATTAAATTAAAACTCTTTGCGAGGTCGTCCTCGAGAGGTTGACGGCTAGAAATCTCATATCTTCGGTTCAGTACATGCTATGAAGACAGAAATACCACCATTCGATTCAGAAATAAAAGATCAACTAATTCCGAACGATAGTTATAGTCATTATTAACAATGTAGTGATTTATGGGAGTTTGAAAGTCAAATGCGATCGTATACTATCAAATTACTTCGAGCCTCGAGCAGTCGAGCTCACAGCCGGACAAGAAATGGAAATACCGTGGAAAAAAATGCAAATTTGAAGATACAGGCTTGCAAATAACACTCTAAATAGTGTTTTTGATGGGGATTCGAACAAGACTATTACAAAGACGATATGTTTGAAGTTTGGCGAAAGATATGGCTAGTCTATATTTTTATTCAGACAATCGCGTGAGCTAACCCAACCGGAAATACGACTAAAAAAACGTCAAAACAATGCGACGTTTGCATCGTATGACCTTGCAAATGGCCTATGTTTTTTACAAAAAGCATGTGCACTATTTATGTGAGAACACGAGTTTATGGGAGGGGGAGAGAAAATATACTCGCTATACTTATCGCGGCATATCCCTGATAAAATATTATTATAATTGAAACCAAATCTGCCAAATCAGCGGCACCGGCTATCGGGCATAATCTGAACGATAAGCGACTGTATGTTGTGTGATTTAGACCTAAATGCTTTCAGCCAATCGTACAGCTTTAGCTAAGATAGTTTTATAGGCCTAGGCTTGCTTACTCGAAGAAATAAACGCTTTTGACGAGCTCTTTGGTTATTTATTGAACTACATGACTCGACGCTGATTATATTAACATACGGTTATTCCGGTCAAATAGGGGTTACAAAAAAATTCGTCAAAAATTCAATTCTAAGTTGCCCCAAAATTTTATTTCATCAATAGCAAGCGAAAACATATTTCTTTGATCTGGTTATGAATTTTTAGTCTGAATCGATGTAACAATGGAGATATTCGCTGCCTAATATGGCATATAATAAAGAGGTTCGAAAATAATAAACATTAAGAAAATCTGTAAAATATTCACTTTTTACAGAAATGTCTCTAAATTTCGTCTGCTAGTCAATAAATATCTCTAATTTATAAAACGAAATCATGTTTTGTGAAATATTCCCATTAACGCGCAAAATAGAGCGATTTTGGTAGTCCCGTAAAATGACCTCTAAAAATCGAACGTGGCCTGGGAAAACCAATTTCGACGTCTCTCTCCTTCAATATTTATCCGATCGAAATAAAACTTTCACAACATTAATACTTCATATAGGCCTATATTGTGACAAAGTTTGAAGGATTTTGAAATTTCTCATTTTACACGTCTTACCTGACTATTACAGACAACCGCTCTTAATAATTAATATCCCTGGTTTAATTTCCCGCTTATGTTATCTCTCTTTCTACCATAGTTGTCTAGTTAATTAATGCAGTTATCTAGGCCTTGTCATATATTTAACTAGGACGTTCTTGTTAAGAATAGCCAGACTATATACAAAATAATCTATATTGAGGAAACTTTTTCAAATTACACGTTTTTCAAAAAGAACCGCAGAATCGATTGCTAAACCTAGGAACTAGTTCATAAAAAAATATAACTAAATAATATTTTTAAGTAACTATAATTATACAAATATAACAGTCAAAAATGTCCAAAACGATTAAAATATGTTAGAAAACGTTAATATTACTTTTAAATAATATTACTTTTAAAAATATGTACATTTCCTGATTCGCTTACTTGTTGATTGCATGATGGTATTATAATCTTTAAAAATAGGCACGCTTTGTGTACGTGTATCCATGCAAAACATTAAACTGGCTCAAAGCAATTTGCATATTTGTTATAAAAAAACTGCATTTGTAGTTGTTTATATTAACCTTATTCGGTATGATTCATGTCACAAAGAATGATCAAACTCAATGTAAAACTTGTTGGTAGATTACAGTCTATTCTTTAAATCAACTGTCCGGTCATGTTTCGCTCGCTACTCTGGTTTAAATAAATGATTACAAAGCCCAGTCGAATTGTAATCAAGACCCAACGTTTCGACACTCCAGTCTAGTGTCTTCATCAGGGGTGATCTAAAACTGCGATCGTGGCTTCTTAAATACCCAAGGGATGACGTCACCTGCCAAGAAGATGCATATATTTCTCTGCCAAATAGGCACCGTCATCCCTATTCAAAGCATGATGACTCATATTTATATGCCACGCTTCTAGGCAAAGTCTTTGACCATAGCGATTCTTTGTGGTAATTACTTTAGAGTTTTCCCACGGAATCTCGTGTTTAGTATAACATACATGTTCGGCTAAAGCTGATTTTCCCTTGTCTAAAGTTAAAACAGCCTTTTGATGTTCTTTTAGCCGTGTACCAAACTGGCGTTTAGACTGACCCAAATACTCTTTGTCGCAGTCACCGCATGGTATAGAATATATAGCATGAGTCTTCTGATTTGTTTCAACAGGATCTTTTGGCTTTGCGAAAATATGGCCTAAAGTCAAATAGGGTTTTAAGGCAGCCTTAATATTACAATTACTTAAGATTCTCTTGATTGGTTCTGTGACACCTTGAATGTATGGAACTATTGCAAAACCCTTAACAGAGGAATCACCCTCGGAGTTAATTTGGTTCCTACAAACAGGTGGTCTCAGGCAATCATTAAGAAAACGCTTTGGGTAATTGTTTTCCCCTAAAACATTTAGAACATATTCACGTCCATTAGCTTGAGAATCACTGTTTGACGGTAACGATTCAGCTCTTTGAAGCAAAGTTTTTGCTACGGATCTTTTATGGCTTACTGGGTGATGAGAGTCGTATGACAAGTATTTGTCTGTGTGTGTGGGTTTGCGATAAACATCAGTCTCTAACTTCCCTTCGACAGTTCTGTGCACATTCAAATCTAAAAAAGCTAAATGTCCATTTATCTCACGTTCTACCGTGAATTGGATAGACGGCTCAATAGAATTTAAATGTTGCAGCAGAATATCGATCTCATTTGTAGAAACCGTAGAGATGATATCATCGACGAAACGTTTCCAAAACGATAGAGACACCGGAACAGAGGTCACAGAACCAAAGGTGACACAGAACAGGTGTCACAGAACCAATCAA